ATAAATATCTGATAAATAGATAAAATAGTAAATGCTGTAAACTGGAATTAATATTTCTAGGACAACAATTACTGCTACATATTTTCACGTCTTTTAAATGCTCTATATCCCTTAAAATATTCTGAACTATTGAGCCATACAGTTATGACTACTATATCTTTTTTTAAACCCTTATCATGTTCAGTATAGTACACTACACAAATCTTAAAAATCTTATGTTTGGCTAGGCATATGCTTATAATTTTCAATCATAAAATAAGCATGAAAAAATGATGTACTGTGGTTTTCTAAAAATTACTTATTCAACATATATAAATCAGTAATAAAATATTTATGAATAACCTATCATGTTTTAGGCATGAAACTCAGATAGCTAAAGAAATATTACTACTTAACTCTCAAATTTCTTACAGCCTAATGTGAAAGATCAACATTAAATATGCAACCAATGGCTTAAATTATTACAAGTATACAAAGTAATATAAAAGAATAGCACAGAACAGGGAACTATGAGAAAGTTCACTGAAGGAGTTGACCTATTCTGAGCACCTAAAAGTTAGTGACAAGTTAGTATCTACACAGATTTTTTAAAAAAATCTATTTAGTTCCTTGTAGACAGAATCAGCATTTTATTGCTTTTTGAACCCAATCCCTAGGACTGACAAAACCAATAATTTGTTGTCAACAAATATTTACTGAGTACCTATGAAGTGCTAAGACTATGCTGGAATCACAACATTGAGCAACAGTGGCAAAGACCCTTCCCTTGTGAATCTCAGGGAAAAATCAGTAAATGTTTGCTGAAATGCACATATAATGGTTTCATAAGTGTTTGAATTTATTGGGTTTTAGTTTTGTTTTGGGGACGTTGTCATAGTTACCTCCTGAAGAATGAATTACAGTGGTCGAAGCTACTTGAATTTTTTTTAAATGTCTTGGCAGTGTAAAGAATGAATATTAACCTGTTACTAACTGAGGTCAATAAGTGTTATGAACTGTTTTTTAAAGTATAACTTAAAAGCTCTGAATAAAATATATACCAGTGTATACACTCGTATTTACAAAATAAACCTGAAATTAAACAATGATTTAAAAATATTGAAGACAATAGATGATAGTCTTAAAAAAATCTAAATGAAATCTCTCTTTCATATCTGATGTTTACAGTAATTTGCAAATGAGGCAAGTTCTGCCTACAGTGCTACCCTTAGTCACTCTTAGTTTAGAAATATGATATGCACTAAGAGTTTGACAATTTGAAAAATACAAAAACCATATATGATAACAGATCCAAGATTCCAGCCAACAAGTGAGAAATTGTACTGACATAAGATGAAATTAAACCAGGATAATGTAACATCATTCACTTATGTTTAAATATATTTACAATGATGGAATGAAGGATGCCAGGTTAAAATAATTATCTTGATTACAGAAAGTAGTAGTTCCTATAGTCTGCATTGGTTAGGTCCCACAAAAAGGCAGTAAAACAAAATTGTTAGAAAAAAAGCACAGATGCCAGAACCAAACTGCCTAAGTTTAAATTCCACCTCCACCATTATTAGCAATGTAACCCTGGAAAAGTTAAACTTTCTGAGCCTTTATACTCTCATCTGGAAAACAGGGTTAATAATAGTGTCTATATCATAGGGTTGTTATAAGGATTAGATGATTTAGTATTTATAGGACTCTTCCCTGGAAAAGTTAAACTTTCTGAGCCTTTATACTCTCATCTGGAAAACAGGGTTAATAATACTGTCTATATCATAGGGTTGTTATAAGGATTAGATGATTTAGTATTTATAGGACTCTGTAAATAGTGTCTGGCACATATTAGGTTCTAGATGAATAATGGCTAATATTATTAGAGTATTATGTTCAACTCAGGGTAAAATATTTCAAGAAAGGCAAACCAGAGTATATTTAAGGAAGAAATTTTAATTTTCCTTAGGTCACCAACCCTTTGAAAACCATAAATGTATTTCTAAGAAAAAATTATATGATTACTTTCAAGTTTACTTGAAGGTTTGTGGACCTTCTAAAAGCCAGCTCTGACCCCAAGGGTTTTGGATATCATAGGTTAAAAATTCCTAAGCCTAAGGAAGGCAAATAAGGTGATAAGAAAAAATGTGGTCGGCCGGCGTGTGGCTCACTCGGGAGAATGCAGTGCTGATAACACCAAGGCCGCGGGTTCGCATCCCATATAGGGATGGCCGGTTGGCTCACTGGGTGAGTGTGGTGCTGACAACACCAAGTCAAGGGTTAAGATCCCCTTACCGGTCATCTTTAAAAAAAAAAAAAAAGAAAAAGAAAAAGAAAAAATGTGGTCTTGAAACTATAATGAAGAGGTATGTGGACTGTATGGCTTTGAAATATTTAGAACATGATAGCTGCCCTCAAATTTAAAGCACGGCCTCAGTGAGGAAGTAGTACTCATGCTTTACTGCTCTGTATTATTGAAAAAAGAGTAGATCATAGGGAGGCAGATTGATACTCAGAATAAGGAAAAATAGAATCTGAATACCCATCTGTTAGGAATATAGATTTTAATATTATAAAAAAGAGGTTGAAAGAGGTCAATTCTATTCATCCCATGCCACCATTATAAAATTCATTCAGGTTATCAACAGTAAAATCGCTCAAGAACTATTGTTAGACACTAGTGACATAGAAGTGAATAAACAGGGCTGGCCCCGTGGCGCACTCGGGAGGGTGCAGCGCTGGGAGCGCAGTGTCGCTCCCGCTGCGGGTTCGGATCCTATATAGGAATGGCCAGTGCGCTCAAGCGCGGTACGGGCAACACCACACCAAGGCTTGCGATCCCCTTACCGGTCACGAAAAAGGCATAAAAAAAAATAAAACTAAAAATAAAAAAAAGAAGTGAATAAACAAACAAAAACCCCTGCCCTCATGATTCTAAATTTGATTGGCAAAGATAATGCAGTCACTAATCTGGGAAAAACACTTTTTGGAAAGCAGTAAACATTTTTATCAGTCTACTTTGAAATATAAATATTTTCTATTTGCTAGGGAATATGCTACAGTTGGTTTTCAAAGGATTAAAACATAGCTGCTTCTTTAACATTAGGTATTGAGCAATTTAGAATAGTTTTTTTTCCCCCGTTAAAACAAACTTACTGTTCTACATCATGATCAATATTAATCTGGAGTTCTTGAAAAACTAAAATATGGTGGTCTTCAACTAACTTGAGGCTTTACTGACAGACTGAAATTCCCGCATCAAATACTTACTTGACACACCATAATCACATGCGTACTGTAAATTATACACTCTAACTGTTGTGGGAGGGGGGTGGGAATTACGTACACAAAGAGGAATAACTAAGAAATTAGAAAAAATACTTCAAAAAAATGCTATTCAAATTTCATAAACACCCATATTCAAAAATAACCTAAAGATTTTCTACAAGATATTATGTTTCATGAGTGATAGCTATTTACTCAATATTTATTGATATTTACAAATAAGTACAGATATTTAAATGTTTTAGGAAGACTGTTATACACTTATATATTGACTTACAGACATGTATTCATATCCTATAATCAGTAGAAACAAAAACAAAAGCAAAGCAAAGCAAAACAAACAAACAAAAAAACAGCTTCCAAAATGTAAGGTCAAATGTGAAAGTATGCTCTATAAAAATAATCTTTTGTATTAGCCAGCCATCAAAAAAAACAAAATCTTGATTTAATTTTTGGAACTGTCCATATTTTAGCTTAGTGTCCCAATTATATAAAGGGGATATGAAAAGAAAGGCAAATAATGTGACGAAAATGTTTAATAAACAAAGGGTTCAAAAATTTTATGACATGATATTTAATCAAATAATTAATTAAGATAATGGGTTCTGAGAAAACTTTGTATTAAAAGAAATA